TGATTTAATTTGTTTATCTTTAATAAAAAAACCGATCCAAAATTGAATTGTATTTAGTTTTTTTTAATCATTGTGAAGCGATGGGTAAAATGCTATGTAAAAAAAAAAAAGTAAATTACACTCACCTCTGAGTTAAGTCAAATTACCATAATCCCATCATATTTGTGTAATTACAACAATCTCATCGATTATGAATCTTCTTACACATGTCTACTCTTTCGGTGTTAATTTAGTGGAATCTTCTAGATTATGCGAATATTCTCTACCAATTTTATCCCATTCTTATGATGTCTATTGACTTGTAACTATCAGACTGTAGTGCACTCTGTTACATAGACACGGCAATTTGGTGGAGTATCCGCGTGTCGGAAACGTTTCGGACACGAAACGCGCGGACACCCTTCAGATACTTCACTGGGCCGTGTCTGTAATTTCCCAAAAGTTGGACACGCGTATCTGAATTGGACACGCGTATCGGTAAAAAAAACGACCCTTTTTTTTACCAAGAAAAGCCTAAACCCAACTAAAAAACCCCACTTTTATTCTTTTTCTCACATCTTATTATTCTAAGCCAGAAGTTCACAGGTTGTATTTATTTGAATAACTTAATAAAAATTATAAGTAAACTGTAATATTAATAATAAAAATAATTTTTAAAAATTATGAAATGTACCCCTATATTTGTTAATATTTACACGTATCCCCCACGTTCCCGTGTCCTGCTTTTTTGATAAAATGTTTCCCGGTGTTCGTATCCGGGTATCGCCGTGTCCCCGTACCCGTGTCTATGTAACATAGGTAGTGCATCAAAAACTGCATTTTCGCTCAAAACGAGTGCAAACAAAAGAACATGCCACGAAACCTAAAAAAATAGATTGAATTTGACATCATAAGAATGGACGTTTAAAAAGATTCATAGTTGAAAGATGATGTAATTACCAATTTTTTTTTTTTTTTCGTAATTTGATCTTAAGTCAGGGTCGTAATTTACAAAAAAAAACAAAAAAGAAAAAGTAATTGGTAAAATGTTAAAATTCAGAGTATTAAAATAACTATGGAAACCCTGTCAAAACTTTTTTTTCTTCTTCTTTAATTAAATAGAGTTTATTTGGCAACTTAAAAACCCCTTTAGTCCTTTTTCCTATATATGTTAAGTTGGTACAAAATTCATTTATACTATTATTAATTTGATGTAATTTAATTTCTTAATTAATTACAATAAATGCATTCGATAATAGTCAAATTTACAACTGTTCGTTCGTTGATCTTCTGTTCAAACGTTTCCACCCCAAAAACCTTGGCGGCTTCTATAAGATAGAAGAATACACACACACACACACACACACACACACACACACACACAGTGAATTCAGGATTTTCCCCTTTTTTGTTTTTTTCCTGATTGCATTTGAGGTAAATTTTCCATCTGGAATCTGGTTTCTGCTGAAAAGTGAAAACAGGGAATTCGCTCCGCGATCAGTTGGTAAGCTTTCTCTCACTATCAATCTGGCACGAAAATCCCGAAATTTGCTCTTGATTTTGTTCTTCTGTCCGTGTTTTTGTCGGCCGTACTGTTTTTTTTTTTGACTATTCATCCTTAATTTTACAGTTATTGCGGATCAGTGTAATGTGACTCGTTTTTGTTTCGATTAAATTTTGTTGAATTTTTTTGCTGTTATAGCTGAGGTGGGGTTTGAAGGTAGGTGATGTATGTGTTTTTGTTGCCCGAAAACCGAAAACTTGAAAACCTTATATGACCAAAAAAAAAAAAAAGTACAGTTGATTTTTTTTTTTTCCCCGAATAAATTTTCCATGTTGACTTTGTGAAGGTTCATTGTTGTCTCGTGAATGTTATTGGTAGCAAATTGGATGTTGTGACTGTATATTTATTCTGATATATTGAGGTGCAAAAACCACACGATATTCGTGAGGGTTTTCCCTTAATGCGTCTATGGGTTTTCGATTTTTTCTCAAGCTATTTCATTGTTCATGCTGAATTTCAAAATTTGATGGGATTGTGATTTTTAAACATGTTGAACTTTTGTAGGAACGTTGGATCTCTGCAAGAAAAGATTGGAAGGTTTAGTTTCTTGATGGTCTGTCAAGAATTATCCGAGTGAGAGGGAAATATTGTTATATTAAACTGATTCCGATTGAATTCTCGAGAAGTTTTTTTGGGGATCATGTTCTCTCTCCAGAAATGGAAGTGCTCATGGTCCCTTGCTGCAACTATTGCCTCCATTTTAGCATTGATTTCGGTGGTTCATTTGTTTCTTTATCCCGTAATTCCTTCTATGGACTATTTTAGCCTTAGGCAAGCGGAGAGTTCTTGTATCACAGTTACCGGATCCACAGAAGGCGGTGAAAAATATTTTCCAAGAACGGGTTCAAATGAAGGAACAAAAGACAATGCTAAAGAAAATGTTCATCGGGCAGTTGATTTAAATGTTCGTTATACAGCAGATTTGCATAATGCTGTGACTTACCGTGGTGCTCCATGGAAGGCGGAGATCGGGCGGTGGTTATCTGGCTGTGACTCGAACTTTTCGGCTGTTCAAATTGTTGAGGTAATGAACTGTCTAGCAATCTAATATCAACGTCCTTTTTGTGGTTAATCTGATTTTGCACTTGGGAACAATTGGACGTTTGTTTTTAAATTTCACTTTTTATATATCAGAAAATTGGAGGGGAGAGCTGCGAAAATGAATGTAGTGGTCAAGGCGTTTGTAATCATGATTTGGGTCAATGCCGCTGCTTTCACGGATTTAGTGGTGTGTCTTCTTGACCCTATTTTATTTTTATAGTCACCTGGTTTTGTGCATGTTTTATTCTTTTATGTTTTATTCGTTTTTGTGCATGTTTCATATTTATGAAGACACATTAAAATGAAAGACGAATTGCCATCAGAATGACCTTGAACGTTATCGTGAATGTAAATTTTATAATACATGTTTTATCTAGGAGGAAATTGCCAGCTGTTTAAGTAGCATCTGAAGTATCGTTTCCTCCATCTGCATGTCAGGATTGTATATATTTCTGCAGCATTAATTCCAACTGTCATCACGTCACATGTTGAGTACCTTCACTGAATCTGCCCGAATATTTGTTCTGTTTTTTCCATGATGACATGCCTAGGTAGTGTATTGTGTCGAGAAATCTTCTGGTCATTCAAATTATGGTTTTTGCACAAAAAAAACGTCTTTGAAAAGATACGACAAAGGTATTTCCGATTCACTCTATCTGCCATTTCTTATGTTTGGAGACAGGGGAAGCATGTTCAGAAAGACTGCAGTTGAACTGCAACTATCCTGGATCAGACACAGAACCATACGGACACTGGGTTGTCTCTATTTGTTCTACTTATTGCGATACCTCAAGAGCTATGTGCTTTTGTGGAGAAGGGACAAAATATCCCAATCGCCCTGCTGCTGAGTCATGTGGATTTGTAATTAAGTAAGCTCACATATATTCGTGAAAAACACACTTATATTATATTATCCCCTTCAACACTTTATAAACCGTTTTATAACACTTTTAACTGTATTGCAAATATTTTAGCCCACCTTCTGAACCCGGCGCTCCACGTTTCACTGATTGGGCAATACCTGATCAGGATATTTTCACTACAAACAGTAGTAAAGAAGGATGGTGTAATGTCGACCCCGCTGAAGCATATGCCTCAAATGTCACTTTCAAAGAAGATTGTGATTGCAAGTATGATGGCCTTTTTGGCCGGTTCTGTGAGACGACCGTGTCGAGTGTTTGTATTAATCAGTGCTCTGGCCATGGATATTGTCGTGGCGGTTTCTGTCAGGTACAATACAACTGCACTTACGTTTCAATGGTTACCAATTTCACTTATAATTGAAAGCTGGATAGAAATCAAGAAGTGAACATACCCTTTAGTTCTTGAGAAGTTGATAATTCGTTTTCACCAAGCAAAAGGATTTTCATTTTTCAGTAATCTACAAGAAACACGTGAATTGTTAAAACAGAAAAACGGGTTTTTTGTGTTTGATTTTTGCATATAATATCCATTTTTTACGATGTGTCCCTTTTCGTAGAACTGGGAAAATTTCTTACACAATTTCACGCGTGTAATGTGAAATGTAATGATGTATCTGCAGTGTGAAAATGGCTGGTACGGAGTGGATTGTAGTATTCCTTCGGTTTTATCGTCCATTACAGAGTGGCCCAAGTGGCTCAGACCAGCACACATTAGTGTTCCAGATTCTAAAAGAGACACAGGAAATCTTGTCAGTCTCGATGCGGTGGTTCAGAAGAAAAGACCTCTTATATATGTTTATGATTTGCCCCCTGATTTCAACAGTCTTCTCCTTGAGGTAACTAATCTTCCGAGCAGCATTAGTTTTCCCTCTCTATTTGTTGTATAAACAATCATTTCTTTTCTCTGTTTTTCTTTAAAATAATTATAGGGACGACATTTCAAGTTCGAGTGCGTAAACAGGATATACGATCACAGAAATGGTACAATATGGACTGAGCAACTCTACGGTGCACAGGTATTAACACCCCATCCTTTTATTATATAAATTTGTAAGCACATAGAATCGACTGAAACTGTTCTTCCTCCACAGATGGCAATCTATGAAAGTATATTAGCAAGCCCATACAGGACATTAAATGGAGATGAAGCAGACTATTTCTTTGTTCCTGTGCTCGATTCTTGCATTATTACTCGTGCTGATGATGCTCCTCACTTGAGCATGCAGGTAAATATGCCATCTGTATCTCGACGTATTCGACATTTTGTGCGGGTGATTATTTCTTTTGCTAGATACAATAGATATGCTCATATCTCATATATATAGATGGTATTCGATAATTCAGGATCACAGAGGATTGAGGAGTTCATTTACTCTGGATTTCTATAAGAAGGCATACGAGCATATTATGGTGGATATCCTTACTGGAATCAATCATTCTGGAAAAGATCAACATATGGGTATATTATGTACTACCTA